GAGAGATCTGGTCTGAAGTAGGAAAAGTAAGTAGCATCTAAGAAACAACAAAGTCAAAACAGAAAACAAACTGCAGAGCAGGTCAAGCCCAGCTGGCAGCAGTTCTGCAGAGCGGTTCAGAGAAAACAAGGGGCAGTTTGCTCTCCCTTTTCATTGTAAAGGGATAATTTTTTTAAAGGGTAAGATCATATAAAGTAAACAAGTGTTAAAGGCTTTATTTAAGCTTGTAATTTGGGGAGGGAACTAGGCAGTTATAGTTGTTCTAACTGGTTCAAAGGAGCCTGGAAGCCCAAGCTTATCTAGAATGCAGGAATGCCACTGACCATGCAGAGGAGGCAGAACTGGCTTTTCCAGGGAGGGGAGTCTGGGTCACTGCAGATCTACAGACAAAAACTGCTTTGCAAGGCTATTGTTCTTACACCCTGTTCTAAAACAGAACCCTTTTGTAGCCCCATCCCCAAGTTTTATTCACTGAGCCACTGACCTCTAGAGCTCAGTTTCCTTGATGTGAAGCAAGTTTGATGAGGTTGATGGGGCTTATTGTAGGCATTAGATAGTTAATAACAAATATTGCCAGGTGGTGGTGGTGCACACCTTTAATCCCAGCACTCAGGAGGCAGAGGCAGGAGGATCTCTGAGTTTGAGGCCACTCTGGTTCCCAGAGCGCGTTCCAGGACATCCAGGGCTCCACAAAGAAACCCTGTCTAGCATAACAAAAAATACTGATTTCTGTCATTGTCCTTATTTGTTGTTGTTGTTGTTTATTATTATGTTTATTATAGTTTGCAACGTTGGGCAATGGAAACCAGGGCTCTAAACATGACAGTGAAATGTTCTATCACAGAACTATATCCCTGAGCATTTTTTAAAATAGTGAAATAGTGAAAAAATTAGAGAAGGAAGGAATACATTGCTTACATCGATCCTACACTGGTTGTAGGTAAAGGGTGGGGTGAGGCACAACAATACAGTGGACAAAAGGGCCACAAGGAGACATCACCCTTGCTTCTGGATTGGCTGTGCTTGTAAACGGGGTACAGAAGCACCAAGAGAAGGAATTGAGTTAAGACTTTAACATGCATTGTAGACTGTGAATTGGTTTTTTGACAGCAGCCTGTAGTTTGGTAACAGACTGACCTCCCATTTCTCATCTGCTCTAGCCGCAAGATCTTGTAATTAAATTTAGGACATCTTAGAAATGTTATCATCGGCATCCCCTGGGGATGGATCCTACACCCTCTGTGGATAAAGGGAGACTACTGTACTTGCCTCAGTGTCTTCTTTTCCCTTCATCTTGATCATAATGTGATCAGTTAGGATGGTTTTGGTAGCCTTTTGTGGGCTGAGTTGAAACATCTACAGGTGATCTCTGTTATAAAATCCTTATTGGAATCTATCTGATCAGCTGTAGCCCTGCCTCCACCAGGTGACTCCCATGTTGGCCCCACACCTTTCACCACCAGCCTTGGCTGAGCCCAGAGTTATCTTGAGAAACTCACTGAGTCCTAGTCCATCAAGATCCAGAGATTGTAGTACATCACCTGGATGGGACCCACCTTTATGAGTCAGCTTCATTAGCCTGTTTTTTGGAAGTCCAACCCATCACACTATCTTAGAGACCTTAGGCTAAGATGCTTCCTATTCCTCTAGCTCAGATAGTCTGGTTTCTTTTCTCCCAAGGCTTTGCTCATCTGTCCCTACCCAGAATTCTCTCTGCTCTTGACAAGTGACTACTTCTCATTTTCCTCTTCAGGAACACCCCACCCCATCCCAACAGTCTTGTGGTGGTCTGTTAATTTCAAACCTTGAGTTCAGCTAAGTTTCTTTCTTTCCTTTTTTTTTTTTTTTTTTTTTTGGTTTGTCTAGATAGGGGTTCTTTGTGTAGCTTTGTTTTGTTGCCTGTCCTGGAACTCGCTCAAACTCACAGAGATCCACCTGCCTCCCGAGTGCAGGGATTAAAAATGCATGCCACTGCCCAGCTGACTATTTTCTTCTGTCCCATCACCAGAGCAGCAGCTCTGTCTCTGTCTGTCTGTCTGTCTGTCTGTCTGTCTCTCTCTCTCTCTCTCTCCCTCCCTCTCTCTCTCCATTCCTCCATGTGTGTGTTGGGGGGGTTGGGGACATTTCCTTTTCCAATCTGGAGTTTGAGTCTCACAACACTGTGCGAGGGCTCTACCCCTGAGCTACATCTCCAGTTCTGTTCTGTGTTCACCTTTGGTAAGGGAAGGTAAAGCCTCTCTTGAGCCAGGCTTGGTGGGTAGTACAGGTTTAATCACAACTACTTGGGAGGCTAAGGCAGAGGGATGCCAGGTTCAAAACCTTTCTAGACTACCAGGTGAGTTCAAGGCTAGCCTAGGCAACTTGGCACAATTGTGCCTCAAAAGAAAGAAAGAAAGAAAGAAAGAAAGAAAGAAAGAAAGAAAGAAAGAAAGAAAGAAAGGATAGGGCTAGGTATGTAGCTTTTAGTATGACTTATATTTGATACTTGCCAGAGCTTTCACATCATAATAGGCAAGATATATGTATTGTTTATCATTGTCAGCAGTACTATGCATTGGTATGATTTATCTAAGTATAAATTTGGCAATGTGCATCAAGAACTTTTGCAGTGCTTTTGGGGAGATGGCTACGCCAGCAGAGTGCTTTCCTGGCAAGCACGAGGCCCTGAGTTTGGCCCTCAAACCTATTTTAAAATGCCAGGCATGGGGCCATCACACATGCTTGTAAATCTGTGTTTGGCGAGGTGGAGACAGGTAAATATCCAGGGAAGGAAGATTTCCTTTTTGGCGAAGGAACCTCATTACTAGCTTGTTGGTGAGCTCCAGCCCAGTGACAGGGCCTGCCTCAAAGAGAGTGGGTGGATTCCAGACAATGACACTGAAATAGTCCTCAGGCTTCCACATCCATGTGCACATAACACACACACACACACACACACACACTGAAACTAAGAAAGAAATTAATGCTTTTAATTCCCTAATTTAATTTAATTTAATTTAGTTTTGTTTAGTTTTGTTTTGAGACAGGGGTTCTCTGAAGCTTTGGAGCATGTCCTGGAACTAGCTCTTGTAGACCAGGCTGGCCTCGAAATCACAGATTCACCTGCCTCTGCCTCCCAAGTGGTGGGATTAAAGGTATGTGTCACCACCTCCCGGCTCCTAGTTTAATTTATGAGAAATACATAAAAAATTAATCAGAGATACTGCCAAGAGATTTAAAGACAAGATGCAGACTTTTAAAGAAAAAAGACAGAAATAAATGAACATCTACTTCAAATTGAAATACTTTCCCTCTTGATCCTACCACGTTAAATATTAGGCTTTGTATCACAGAGCTTGCTGTTTCCCACCAGCCCTGGCAGAGCTGAGAGCTGTCAGTCTCTCAGCCACAAGCACTCAGGTGGTCTGGCAGAAAACAGAGGAAGACAGGTGACACTTAGACAGCTTGAGCTGCCTTCCAGGGCTAGGACGAGGTCTTCCTCACCCTGTCCATAACCCTGGAGAGGGTTTCTAGTTCACTGAATTACTGAAAGAGATTAACTCTGTAATAATTGCTACTGTAACTAAAAATTAAAAACCACGAGGAAGGCAACATTGTTGTAGCTTGACGCACAATACATAATGGACATTTCAGTCTATTTATATAAACCTCAGTGATGAGCCCTGTGCTCAAATTCCTTTCCAGGGAGGGATACATAGCAACTTCTACCCCTCCTCTTAAAGTTACAGTGGCAAACTTAAGTATGATTCCACCCAAGTTCACTCCGAGGAACCAATGGTTTTATTGGGCTTCCTTATAGGTCATAGATAGGGGGTTAGCTACAGGAGTGTGGCTGCACTCGAAAGTCCTTACTCAGCAGGAATGATGCCTGGCTCACAGTCACATAGATGGAAATCCATAGTCTTCCCTGGCCCATATACTCTAGTCCTCCTGCTGAGCCCACAAGCCTCCATGCAATTAGAGTTGCAGGTGCGGATGGTAGGTAACAGCTGGGTACTCTGGGGAGGGTCCTGTGACCCTCCCTGCCCCTCTGTGAGGGGACGTAAACAGTCAACAAGCCCAGCTGGCATGATCTTAGCAACCTGCACATCTGAAACTCCTGAAGAAGGGGCTATTGGGCTCAGAGGACAGTCACAAACAGTAGCCCTCACTTCTTTCAAGTTCCTAAGTGTGTCCCCTGAGCACACATGGTCCTAGGTTTCCGATTGCCTTTTCCAGAGCTGTGGCCCACAGCCGGCAGCAAGAGCAGCAGATACCGCACCCCGCTGGAAGTGAGCACCATCAGTTCCATCAAATCAGCATGTGATAGAGAGGTTGGGAAACCAGCTCTCTCTTAACGTGCTGCTGAGAAAGGAATCCTGATGGAGGGACGGTGATGAAAGAGTTCAGAAGGAAAGCTCCACACTCCCGGATTGTCCATGGGCAAATAAGAGCAAGAACAAAACCACTGTGAGAGCCAAAGTTACATCTTAAGTTTTAGTTACTATACATACCTAAGAGAGCCATGAAACCAAAAAATGCCTCTAATCTGCCATCCTCTTGCCCAAAGCTGATGTTTATGGGAGATGACAAGACACATGTTGTCACTCCTACACAAGCTTGTTTGACCCAACTGCACCAGATGTGCTTAATCGTGTGGGCCGGAGGTTCACAGGCAGGAAACGCACCAGGATGTATGCTTGCCCCTGATAGGACCTGATGGGAAATACTCAATCCACTGTAAAACTTGACTCAGGGCCATTTTTTTCTTCTTCTGGGAAACCAGAGATGGACCTGGCCAGAGTCAAGCTACCTGGCCAGTATTTAATTAAAGCTTGCTTCAAATTTGACTTTAAAGTATGGTAGTGGTTTTAGGGATTAACACCGCCCACCCAACCCAACAAATGCAACCAACAACAAATCCAAAATCAAAATGGAAATCACATTTTATCTTCATGTGTCCTGTGTGTTGCATTCTGGAAACACCCTCGAATTATAATACCACAATGACACTTCGCTTTATAAAATGTCTTTTACTTAAAAACAAGGTACCACTGGGTCTGTCAACATAGTTATACACCTCACACATAAACACACCTGACAGTTACAACACAAAAACACGACTGACATAAAATGATCACTGGCGAGTGCATGGCAATGTTTTACCAGAAATAAATATCACTATTTAAGTCACAGGTACCCTCCGCTGATTTTAAATTCCAGTTAGCAAAAAGTGTGTTGGGTAGATTTAGGAGGGTTTGTTAGGCCTCTATGAGGTTAAGAAAGTGAGGCCTAAGAAAAGTGGTGGTGGCGCACGCCTTTAATCCCAGCACTCAGGAGGCAGAGGCAGGTGGATCTCTGAGTTCGAGACCAGCCTGGTCTAGATAGTGAGTTCCAGGATAACCAGGGCTACACAGAGAAACCCTGTCTCAAACAACAACAACAACAAAAAAGAAAGACAAGAAAGTGAGACTTGAGGAATCATATCCTAGCCTAAGGCAGATCCAGCACACACCTTGACAAAGTTATTTAACACAGTGAGTCTTATATACATATAAATACGTTCTTCCCTGTGCTGCTATCTGAATTTCACATAATTTAAAATAAGAAGGCAGACATAGAGACAAAAATTCTATATAAACAGTTAAATCTCGGCTTTAAAATACAAAACATAATGTATGCTTCATACAGTTTTCTGTAGGAAAGTCCCTCTTGTATGGGATTTGACAGCATTCACATTGTGCAGAAGCCTCCTAGGGAGTAGCCAGACATGAAGAAAAACATCTCCGACTTGCCTCTGGGAGATCTGTGAGCGACATGATCTCAATAATACATGTTCTTATCCCACCAGCCTGTGGAGGCAGAGAAGGGTAAATCAGAAATAGCCTGTGGGAGGTGATGTACCAGCTGATACAAGCATCATCAGTCATGGGGGTACACTTCATTGACCAGGTGCTTGCCGTGGTGTACAAGCTGATACAAGCATCATCAGTCATGGGGGGTACACTTCATTGACCAGGTGCTTGCCCTGCACAGCTGGTCTGGTTTCCAGCTCAGCAAAACAAAAACAAAGTAATTCATTTTCCTCAATACTCACTTCCAGGGTAGAGCCTGATGAAGAGTTTTCGCATCTCGTCATACACCCAAATCAAAATGGCATGCGGCACAGCCACGAACCAGTACTGAGCCCTGCAAACAAAAGGAGGAAGTGAGCCCTGGCTTGTCCGAGGAGATAACCCAGACCCTGGCCAATAGCGGACGCAGGGGCGGGGCCTTTCTCTTAATTTTCCTTGCCTCACTGGAAATAGCAAATACGTTACATCACACAAGACAGGCCTTACTTAACCCAAGATGGGACTGCTAAAAGCAGCCTTGGCCTTTGAGGATCCCTGTTGGATGAGAGTGGCGGTGGTCCAGTCAGGCCTGGAGAATGCTTTTTTTTTTCCCTTTGGGAAATAGGAAGGTCAAGGGATGGGGTCCCATAGCTTGGGGGTCGATTTAATCTCTTTGGGAAGATTGGAGAAAGAGCCCATGGGAACCCTTGTGTTTATTCAGATTGTGATAGCTCAAAGTAGAAGCTGGTGTCCTACGTAATCCCACTGAAGGGCAACTCACCTGAGCATGGTGAAACTCAGGGCTGTGACACTCCCGAGACCGTAGGACAGGATCAGTGCCACAATGATCTGCGAGGCGATCCCCACCCAGATGACTTTATTTCTGGAAAACACACGGAAGCAAACAGATGTGGAATTTCCATGTGTCTATAGTCATGTACCCAGAAGACTGTGCCACAGTTAGGTCAGACATGGAGGTACCTGAAGAGCCCCTGCTGGAAGATAGAATTCCTCCGGGTTTTTCTGATGATCAGATCTGCAATTTGTTGGATCATGATGGCAACAAAGAAAGCCGTATAACCTGTGTATTCTAGGTATTTTCTCTGATACCTTGTCTGTCAAGAGGTAGAGACGGATGAGACCATGAGAACCCTCCCAGAGGAAAACTGAAATCTGATCCTCTTTCCCCACTTCACCCAGATTCATCATAGACTGTCTTCTTGTGTTCAGAGAGACATTCTCTTTAAATAGACGGCAAGGGAAAGATACTAGCTTATGCTCCCCATTGTGGGGTTTGGCTTGGTTACGCTTCCACACAGACTGCTGAACTAATGCAAAGTGAATTTGAGAGACGAGGTGTCTTCCCCAAAGACCCCATTGTCACCAGAGGTCTTCCAGACTTATTAACTGAGTAGCATCCAAGGCTGTCTCATCATTCAGGGGAGTGGAGGTTCAATGACAGGATGGGTGGGCAGTGAGAAGAGAGGAGGGCCAGGTGGTGGAAGGACTCTTGACTCACCCATTCCTGCCCGTAGCTATCTTCCAAGTCATTTATATCATCTGTTTCCCATGCTACCCTCAGGTTGATGAGAGAGGTGGGCCAAAAGCCCTGCTGTGCATAGACAGTGAAATAGACGAGGAAAGCGCCCAGGGCTTGCATGAGACCTGAAAAAGTCAAAGATCCAGATGTGAGTGCTGTGTTGGGCCCAGAGGGCTGCCTTGTTCTAGTGCTCTTCTGAGCCGTCCTCCTCCCCTGCCTAGGACTGGAATGTGTTATTTGGGAGGGCTCTTGCGTAATGAGCCATGGGTAGGGGGATGGCCAACGATGATACACCCTCCTCATACCAATGTGCAGGTAAGAGTAGATAGCAAGCTGCTGGTTCACCAATCTGTCTTTCTTCTTGTGGCGAGGTTTCCTATTCATGATGTCACTTTCAGCTTTTTCATAGGCCAAGGCAATGGAGGGAATCTAGAGAAGGAAAGACCCCCATGAAACGGACCTCTGGAAGGAGAGTGATAGTGAACAAGGGGGGACCAGAGGTGGGAGTAAATGGGTGGTAGAGATGGGGAATGGGGGTGCATCCAGGGTGCAGATAACAAGGGTGCATTGCCTCCATGGGATTTACAAGCCTCCATCTTTAAAAACCAGTCTGTGTTTTTGAGTTGAGGATGTGGTCAGTGGCACCATGATGCTAACTAGAGGCACAAGCGAGGTCCTGGGTTAAAAAAAAAAAAAGTCTATTTGCTTTTTAAAACCACCTGGCAATTCTAGATAGAGCCCGTTATAACATAAAATGTCGTCCTTCCCCTTTGGCATGTGTCCAGACCACAAAGCAATGTGGCAGGATAGCGGTGCTCTCGCAGTTTCTACCACTAAGAAATCCCTTAAAAGACAGACCTATCCCCACATCCAGATGTCCCGATGCAGAGGTATGGGCTTGGCTAGAGAATTATATTTCAAACCTGGCCCATGCTTGGAGAATCACTGCAGGCTGAGAAAATGAGCAAATGTAGAAGGGTTTGGAATGTTGGAATATGCATGTATTCTCTTTTAGGAAGGGTATCTCAGTTCTCCCCTCAAAGACAAAAGTCTTTTATTTTCCTCATAAAGAAGGGACCAGATCTAGGCACTATATAGACGTAGGGAGTGAGGCCATGGCCAGGGCCGCCTTGGACTGTGACTTTGACTTGCCCTCTGTTGCTTTTCTTTTCCTCCTTGGCCTGGGTAAGCCAGAGTCATATGGGGGCTTTCGTGAAGCTTTTTAAAAATGGATACAGGCTGTAAGAGGGGAGTCTTAGATGAATGACTGTTGGAAATAATAACAAAACTCTGAAAATGCCGAATAAAGAGACTCCATATATCCCTGCAAGAGCCCTAACCAAAGAACAACAAAAACCAAGTCTAGCCGGGCGGTGGTGGCGCACGCCTTTAATCCCAGCACTCGGGAGACAGAGGCAGGTGGATCTCTGTGAGTTCGAGACCAGCCTGGTCTACAAGAGCTAGTTCCAGGACAGGCTCCAAAGCCACAGAGAAACCCTGTCTCAAAAAACAAAAAACAAAACAAAACAAAAAAAAACCAAGTCCACTATTTCATTGTATGTTTAGAGAGGCCCTTCCCGTTCACTGCCCTCTAACTTAGCATGGGGTGACTGTGGGCTGTCACCTCAGGGTACTTCTTCTTCCCCAGAGTATTACTGTGTGATTGCTTCTCCAAACCATAGGAGTTGAATCTGATGAAGATGAATTCTTTGAGAGAGCCAAAACCATGTCGTTAAAAGAAAAAAAAAATCAGTACTGGAGATCAAGCCCACTGAGCTCTATCCCTAGCCCTGATTCTTATCTTAAAAGTCTTATTCTGGAATGAAATAATTTTCATTTCCAAACACTTGACCGATATCTCTAGCCTATTGCTGGGAAGCATGGCCTGTGGACCCATAGAATAAGTGTCACGTGGAAGCTCACTATAGATGGAGAAATGGCCCCATGGCACAGAGGTATGAGAAGCATTGATTTTGTTCATCATGTGGCTCTTGGAGGCAACAGGTATGATCTTTATATCCCTGGGGTTATTACCAGGTCTTTATATCCCTGGGGTTATTACCAGGTCTTTGAGTAGTACTTACAATGTCTGTGCCCAGGTCGATGAATAGGATTGTAATGGTGCCAATGGGCAGGGGAAGCCCAGCAACGATGTAGATCAAAAAGGGGCAGAGCTCAGCGATGTTCTTGGTCAGGGTATAGGCGATGGTTTTCTTCAGGTTGTCAAAGATCAGGCGACCTGGGGAAGATGTGTCTCTTTATAGGACTTGCTGCTAGTCCCCCAGGCAACCTGGATATCAGGATGGCACCCTGAAACCTTACTCACCTTCCTCCACCCCTGTGACTATAGACGCAAAGTTGTCGTCTAGCAAGACCATGTCCGCTGCATTTTTAGCGGCGTCAGAACCTGCTATGCCCATAGCAATCCCGATGTCTGCCTTCTTGAGAGCTGGAGAGTCATTCACACCGTCACCTGTCACAGCTACAACCGCATCCTGTGGGGACCCGGTGAGAAAACAAGAGTGAGGCAAGTGAGGCGACCGCGAGTCCACCAGGAAGCACACCCTACACCTTTTGTCTTGAGGCTGGAGAACTACTGGAGTCAAAATGAAGGTCTCTTTGGGAAGGAAAGATAAAGATGGACAATCTTAGAAACTCTGACACAGACTATGCAAATGAAGAAATAAAACAAAATCCCCAGCACACATGCCCAAACAAAGAGGTGTTTCACAGGGTCAGCCTTACGTATTGATGGGTTCTGAACGCACAGATCCAACCACCCAAATTTAGAAAAATTTTGGAGAACAAAACCAAACTGGCTGTGGTGGCATATGCTTGCTTATGCTTACAGTGCATGAAAAGTCGAGACAGGAAGATTGTGAGTTTGAAGCCAGCCTGGGATACATAGGGAAACCTTGACTCAATAAACAAAAGGAGAAAGAGAGACAGACAGACAGAGACAAAAAAGGGGAAATATTGGAAAAACAAAATTGCCTGTATGGTGAACATGCACAGATTTTCTTGACATTATTTCCTCCAAGCAATATGGACTATCTGGTGTTTATGCAGCCCTGACATTATACTAGATACTATGAATCATCTGAAGATGATTTAAAATACATGGAATGTGAGTACACTCTATACAAATATTAGTTAATTTTATAAATACAACTCGAGCAATGGTATGTTTTGTACTTGTAGGAGTTCCAGAAACAACTCCCCTGTAGTTATGAAGGAAGGACCATTTCTTACATCTCACTTCCTTTGTTATATATATTTACATTTAGAAAATCTCTCTATATCTGTATTCTACCACAGCTGCAAGTGCTTGAGTGGCTTCTCGATCAGAGCCAATGTTCTTGTGATATAGTAAAGAAAGAGAGACTGCATGGCTATGGGATGATCTCAGAGGTGAAAAGAACGCCAGTCCTCCCAATATTGGTGCCACACTTCCCAGTGGGTAGCCAGGCCTTTCCAATCATCAGGGAGCTGCTGCTGACACACCTGCCTCTGACAGCCCTCCACGATGATCAGCTTCTGCTGGGGTGATGTCCGGGCGAATACGATTTCTTGGTAGTTGGTTAAAAGGTCATCCAGTTGTTCTGGGGTCATGTCCTTCAGTTCCATGCCTGTCACCACAGCGGCTTTTGCTTCTCTAGGAAGGCCAGAAGAGACAGGGTGAAGCCAAAGCCCAGCTCTTGTGCTGAAACCCAGTTCTGTGCATGGTTTCTGTTTTTCTAAAACAAGAGACCATTTCCTATTATTCTATAATAATGGGAATAAATGTCAACTAGTCTTTTCCTTCTAGAAATGGGTGAGAAATGGTGATTCCCTGGGGCAATACTTTACTACACAAGGAAGAGCAGAAAATTGCCTCTTTGGGATGAGTGCAGAGCTCAGAAATGAAAAGCTTGCTGAAGTAACCACCAAGCCCTGGGTCTGGTTGCCAGCAACAGGGAACAAACACACACAAACCCTGTCCTTATGTTCTGGTATCTAGACTCCCCTTACGCCTATATGCATAGATAAGGTGCCCTTTTGTTGTTTCGGGTTTATAGAAGCCCACTGTGTACAGTGTGCTAGGTTGGGAGAATAGTTTACTGAAGTCTTGGAGCACAACTGTTACCCACTGACTATAAAAATAAGGCTCTTGGGCCATGGTTCACAACCTTCCTAATGCTGAAACCCTTTAATACAGTTCCTCTTGTTGTGGTGACCGCCCCCCCCCCCAACTGTTACTTCATAACTCTAATTTTGCTACAGCTATGAATGATAATGTAAATATCTGTGTTTTCTGGTGGCCTTAGATGACCCCTGTGAAAGGGTCATTCAGGTCCCAAAGGGGTTCCAACCCCCAGTTTGAGAATTGTTGCTCTGGGGACTCTTGATTATACAGATAAAATGTGCTACTCCTCTGATGAACTCTAGCTAGTCCCTGAGCAGACCCCAGGATCCCGTATTGGCTTGCCAATAAGGCCAAGTGCCACCTTGAAGGTCAAATGTGGCAGACAAGGTCAAGTACGGTTTGAGCTGTTGACCTTCCTAGCGTCTTCTCTCCCACCCACTGGCCTCTTTGGGTTCTGCGGCACTAATGCTTCCACTACCTTAAGGTCTCTACGCTTGTCTCCCTTTCCAGGAATGGGCTTTTCTCACTTGGGCATCCCTTAACTAATACTTCATGTTTTAGCCTTCGAATCTCAGCTTACGTAAGGTAGAAACAAAACATCGCATGCCTTATTTTTTTTTTTTTATGTCTTGTAAGTTTGCAGTTTTTCACGTTTGTTTTTCTTGTTGATACCAAATACTAGAATTCTAGCTCTTTGGTAGCACAAATTGAACTCAACATTAAAGGACAAGAAGTTGAAAGAGGATTGGGGTAAATCTGGGAGGAGTTAGGGGACGGGGAAGCAAATATGCCTCAAAATACATTGTATGCACATTCTCAAAGAACTAATGAAAATGTATTTTCAAAAAGTATATCAAGGCAAGATAAGAAGGAAGAGTGTTTCCTTCCTTCCTACAGCTGCTCAGATGTGTGGCTATGGAGCCAGAGCTGAGGAAGCAGCTAAATAAAAATATTGACAAAAAGTGTGCACTTGTGCTGGGGATGTCACGTGGCTTTGTGACAGAGCACTAGTCTAGGTTTGACAAAGTAAACAAACAAACCAAATAAACAAATAATCCATTTCCCTCCTGGTCAGTGTGGTGACTGCCATAAAAATGGCGGCCGCTTACTGACTGTTCTAAAGAAATAAACAGGCCCCACCCCAGTTTTGGCAGAGGGCTGTTTATTTATACGAGGGAGTGATGGCAAGGCTTGGTTTTGGGCAATTGTTGCTGTGCCCAGAGGCTGTCACTGTTGTGCCCTACCTAGTAATTATTATCACCTGGCAGCTGTGTGTTCCTACCAGGCCTAAGTGCCTAGGTAATCTAAGTCATTGTTCTTTCCTTTCTCCCTGATGCATGAAAGAAGGTCCAACTCATGACAGTTTATTTGACCCACCGCTCTGAAGTCTTTGACTCATTATGCCATTCCAGGTCTAGGCAGCTCCTTCCCTGTGTGTCTCCTCATTAAACCATTCTCCATGCCCCACCTTGGCCCCCCTCTCCTTGCCTAGATGGAAAGTTTCTCACTGGTGGGACAGTGTTCTAGTGTCTGGCATATAGCTTGAAGGCAACAACTAAGTATGGAAAGAATTAATCGATAAGTGAATAAGTGAATGGATGAGCAGAAGACAGACTTGATTGACAGAATAAAGCTTCCATTCTGACAAGTAGGAAAGCACAGTATGCTTGCATGGCTACATGTTATGAAGTCAACTGAACATGCAAATAAATACCTAAGGTGTATGAAACCAGGATTCTCAGTATCCTTAATCCTACAGCTGGATCAATAGCAAGTGATTTCACCTGCTCTTTGTTTTTCTCTTCTAAGCTGAGGCATAAAGTTTGCAGATCTCTGTCCTGTGCCGTACAATATTTTTAGTCAATGATGCAGGACACATAAGATCATCTTGCCTAGTGATGCTATCTTAATTTCTTTGGACACACTCTTGGATATTCAGCAACAATTAAAATTACATTTTATATAGGGCAGAGCTTATTGTTAAGCTACACCCAACTTTACTTCATTGAATTTTGAAATACCAGACAAGGATAGCAATGCAGTGCTTGTCATGAACCAGATACTCAATAAAATTTTCAATGAACGAATGAATGTAAATTATAAATCAAGCCAACGTAGCTCTACCCTGAGAAGGCATTAGTCAAAAGGGTAATCTGATCCCACTAGCAAAACTCTTTAGAGTCAGCAGGGCCCAGTGGGTAAGAACTTGACTTTCTGCTCCATTGGTTCTGTGGTTACCTTTTGTTGACTTGCTCCACAGCAATACCGCGGCGTTTTGCGATGTCTTCCACTGTCTCATTGTTGGCTGATATGATTCCTACGCTCTTGGCAATGGCTTTGGCTGTGATAGGATGATCACCTGTAACCATAATAACCTAGGACACAGAACACAGAAACTCGTGGGTAATGGCTTTGCTGGCTAAGTAGGGGTTATAGGTCAATATTTACTAAGATACTGCCTACTCTCAAAGGACCTAGAGAGTGCTGTGGTTTTGCTCATGGGAAATTCTGGATCTCAGACGCCACTGTTTCTAAAGAAGGCACTGGTCCTGTCTGGACTCCCTTTTGCCCAGGCTTCTTTCATATCCCCCCCTGATGCCAGAAGAAGCCTTCCCCTTTGTTACAATTTCCTTTGTAAAAGGGTCTATAGGCGTCTCCTAGAGACAGTCTTGTGCTGCCTTAACAGTCTTTCTTGATGCTAACACAGTAATAAAATTCATATGTAACTTCTATATCATGAAGGCAAATGAATTATGGAAAATAAAGTATTAAAACCCTTTATTATCTATCATAGTCCAGGACAATATAAGGTCTAATTCACGGCACTGGCAAGTTCTTCTCTCTGTAGGTACTGCGTTGGTTCATCCCCACAGACACTGTCTTGCTTTTTGGGGACAGTTACCGAGATCTTAGCAGAGTGAAGGAAGAGGTCCAAGTTGAGAATTAGGATGTTCACTTGAAGAGAACTAAAGACTCCCATGGTAATTTTTTCTTAGAAAGGGATATACTATATAGATAGAAAGGAAAAAGAACACTCACCTTGATCCCTGCACTCCGACACTTGCTGACTGCATCTGGGACAGTGGACCGAGGGGGATCGATCAGGGACAGAAGCCCCACAAAGCAGAGGTCGGAAGTGGGAAAGTTTATGGTGTCTACATCAAATGGGTAGGTTTGGGGAAACTTATCTGCTGGCAGGTAGAGGTGGCAGAAACCTGGAAGGGGCAATCATGTTGGAGTTAGTGAAACCAGGATTAAATATGACAGAGGATGCAGAGTTGCGGGGGGGGGGGGGGTTGTTGTGTGGTTTGGTGGTGGAGGACATGTTTAAGCATGTGTGAGCAGCTAGGTCTGAGCCAAAAGCAGGAAGGAGATGACATGATGATACACACTCAGTCCTTTACTATTTTACCGATATATAGTGTGTACCAACAGTTGTTTAATCCCTTCAATTCCATAATGCATGTTTTTAAAGAAAGACCTATTTCATCCAGTTCCATCCAAAAGTAATGTCCTGTGTGCCTGTCAGGTGTTCTATGCTGTGCTCTAGAGATATAACATCCAAGATAAGTCCAGTAAGACATGTTTTATTTCTGAAGATGTCTCTGGTTAGTGGTGAGACTAACAACTGAAGACATTAAACATGGCATGAACCGTAGCATAGAGCTACATGTCAGAACAGAGCACGGATGTTTTCTAAAGAAGGAAGGCTGGAGTGAGGAAACCATTTCAGGAAAATAAACAAGCACATGGAAAGAAACAACCCTGGGTCTTTGGGGGAGTGGTAGAAAATTCAGCCTTAATTAAGCTAAGACTAGGAGTAACCGGGTAGAACCATCCTTTTCTCTGGGGCAGAGGTCGAAGGCATTCCTGTGTTTGATAGAACTCCCAAATCACGTGGCTTGCATCAGTTTTTACAGTAAATAATCATCACCACGGCTCACTGCTTCCCACTTCTCACTAACCAGGCCTAGAGGTCAAAAAGGAGGTTCCTAGAGCGACTTTGGTCAGTTGGGGGCCAATCTTTCTTTGAAAAGATTGCTTGGTGCTGTGGGTTATGTAGGGTGTGTTTAAATCATTAGCATCTCATTTACACATTTTATCTACTGTACAAACTCAAATATCCTGTGGAAACACACATTCTACACATTCCGAGGCAAGTGGCAAGCACTTTTATGGTGTTTAACGAACCTTATCATCAACCCTGGGCTGTGAATTCCTGGTTCTGCCCTTCTGAATAGGTGCCATTCAGTCAACCCATGCTTCTGATAGTGGAACACACTGCCCATCACATCACTTCAGTGGTGAAATTGCTAAGGTTCCTTCCACCTCCAATATTCCCCGTCTCAGTTCCTTCGTTACCTTTCCCCTACTCATACGCTGAGATAAGTAAACATTCCTGAAGTCACCATTCCTTTCCAAGGAGTTGCTGAGTCTTACCTGCTGGCTCACAAAGCGCCATCACCTGACCCTTCTTCATGCTCCCACCACCTGGCTTGTATCAAATACCTACCCCTCCCTTGTTCTGTGAAATGAAAGCAGCCACCTCTGAAGGAGCCCAGTGTCTCTCCTCTTGCTGCTTCCAGCAAGGATGACTCACAACCAACCCTGGCTGTGACTGACCGGCTCACCGTTGTGACAAAGCTTTCAGTACTCCCCCTAACCGTAAGACAAAACTCCAGGTCCTCGACACGTATTTAAGAACTCTTCGTGATGGCCCCAATCTCTCTCCCTAATTCTGTTTCCTGCACCTCCTCCCTCTCATCCATTCTGCAGCACTGCATGGACCACTGGCTTCACTGTGTGCATAAAGAGATCCCTTTCTTCCTCTTCTTAGCCTTTGCAGTTCTCTCACGTGGATACTTTCCCCTCCTTCCACCCAAATACTGCCACTCAAGGCCCAATTTAAAATGTGACTTCTCTAAAGTCCCTGACTATGTCTGGAATGAACCCCATTCCTCCCAGTGAAATCTTACAGCAATCTTTTACATGCTTCTCTCTTGTTTCTGTGTTTTTCTTTTTTCCTCATCTGCTGGGGATTGAACCCAGGACCTCACACATGTTAGGCAAATGCAGCACCACTGAACTACACGCCAGCCCCTCATATTCTTTATATGATCCCTGTGTTGCCATGGCTACTCTGCTGGTTAATGGGAGTTCTTCATGCTTCTCAGGAGATGAACACAGATGTTCTACCATGCTCACCCAACACACGCTCGCCCAGGCCTCCCAGTTCCATGTAGGCTGTGTGGAATGCGTCGGCAGAGCTCTTGTCCAGTGGCTGCTCCTTGCCATTGATCATGATGGTGCTGCACTTCTCTAAGATCCTCTCCGGGGCTCCCTTCATCACCATGAGGAAGCGCTTGTCGTTAGGGTCCTCTGTCTCATGTATGGAGAGCTGGGAGGGCACGGATTGGGCCAGTTAGATATGGCATCTTTGCCGTGGTTCTTCCAATTAGCAATAGGACAGGCAGGCAAAACATTTCCTTTCTTTCAATTTGCCCTCCGAGGGTAAAAGCAGAGGAAGAACATGGCACCCCCAGCATGGCCATCCTTTGGCATTTGTAACTAATTAAAAAGCTAACACCTAGATTTGGGTGACTCAGAGGGGCATGCTGAGCTGGAACCCACACTGGGTGCAGCTTGCATTTCAAACAGACACTAGCTCTTTAAGGCTCGTTGAGCAGGCTGAATGCACCCCTCAGCCGAACAACCTATGGACAGAGGTATGAGAGTTCTTGTCTCACCTCTCCCTGCTAGTGGTGAGCAGCCATCTTTTGTATGTGCACACACATATGTATATGCCTGGGTGCATATATGTGTTCAAGCATACATACCTATGTGTGCATGACAGTCATGTGTGAATGTGTGTGTGTGTGTGTAAAAGGTAGAGAACAAACTTGGGTCTTGTTCTTTGGTACCATCCACCTTGTTTTTTGAGGGTCTCTCATTGACTTGGAGTTTGCCCATTGGCCAGACTGATTGGCCAATAAATTCCAGAGATTTGTCTGACTCTGCCTCCCCAACCCAGCTTTCACACATGAGTTCTGTAGATCAAAGTCAGGTCCTTGTGTTTGCCAGGCAAGTGCTTTGCTCACTAAGACATCTCCCCAGCCTTGAGCAGCCACTTGCAAATGCTGAGCTGCCAAGGCCAGGAGGAATTCCTGTGCCTCTCTGTCTCAGGATGGATCTAGCTTTACTCTCTGGACATAAGGGAAAATGGTGGAAATTTGAAGAGGAAGAAGGCACGATTACAAGTAGACTTTAGAAGCCAGTGATGCATCAGCGTTGACAAGTTTACCACAAATATTCTTGATCCAGCAAGCCTACTTCTAGAAACATCCTGTTAAGATAATCAGCCTAATAAAATATGTATAGATCATAGTATATAATAATCAAATGGTTAAATCTGCACATTATGTGGGCACCACCCACCACCCAGAATCAGACAGACAGGCAGACACACCCACTTGTACCTCAGCACACAAAATAATTTTAGAGAGACTTGGTATCTGTCTGTCTGTCTATCTATCTATCTATCTATCTATCTATCTATCTATCTATCTATCTATCATGCTGGGAATTAAACCCAGGGCTTTGTAAATTCTAGGCAAGCACTCTACCATTGAGTCAGATGCTCAAGGACAGGAAGATTTTGAAATCTTTTTGGAGAAAATTTCCACCGCTTTGGGATTAGCAGTTGATTCCAAATCAATAGTTGCTAGACACTGAGTTATCAGAAAAGTATATTATTTTTAAAAATGATAGAAAGAAAATAGGTTTGCCAGTTTCCTTTTTTTTTTCTTCAGTGACCAAGAAAAGACATAAAACCAACCAGTTCACTAACCAGAACTCAACCCAACTCAACCTAACCAAACCAAGGAGCTTCCTGTTGGTTACTATTATCACCATCATTTTTTTGAACAGTAGGGCTGAGCTCAGTGGCAGAACTTGCCTAACACATATGAGAACCCCCCCCCAACACAGTTCAATCCCCAGAACCACAAAGAAAAGCTCTAGACCCAGGTGTGGTGGCACATGTCCTGCTCACACAACGGTGACATCATCTAGCATGTCTACACTTTACTGTTACACAAAGTCAAAGCCATACCCCTCAGCTCAGCATGGGATTCTGTAGGAAATCCCACTGGGCAGGCAACTTGTTGGTCTGAATGGAAGAGGATAGATATGATTGATTACTGGCCATTTATATAGTGGTTCAAAGCCACTAGGCAATGATGGCCATGTTCTTCCCGAGCAATGAGCAGAAAGGAGGACCCTAGCAATGGCATATAGAGCAGGAATAAAACCCTAAATAAAATAAAACACTTGACTGGTCCTCAGAAGGGCTTGTCTTCTTCCAGGGCAGTCTCAGGCATGCTTGCTTCATGTGGCATGTTTGAAATTTCTGAATCTGTGCAGTAGACTCTGTAGATTCTAGAGACTGTCAAAACTGGCCGGTGCCACTTACACACTGTGAGACTGTGATCTCAACACATCCTAAGTGTTCTATTCCTACTCCATAAATCGGATTCACTGGTCCTACCTTATAGATCAGTTATAAGTGTTAAATTAGATAAAATAGTCTGATTTATTTAGTTGGTTCTTAGTTCCTTAGTAGATTGGCTCCAGTGCCCAAGAATATTAAAATATAAGGTATTCCTCATACCCAATATATTACAAGACATAGTGTTTACACAGGACGTAAGCACACTTTCCCACAATCCTTAAAGAATCTCTAGACGACTTATACTTCTAATATGATATCAGTGCTATGTATTCAGAGAGTGTTCCGAGCCTCTTGCTCCCTCTCTCTGTGTGAGCTTGCATGTAGGATATGTGCACTGTTCTTAGGAACAGTAGACCCTAAGAAGCTCTTTGCCTTTGTTTCTATACCCTACTTCAAGTTTGGCTTTATATCTTTTCTTGGTTGTTAAAAGAAGAGGAAGAGGAGGAGAACAATGACAATGACAACACTGGCAAACCTGACCTGAGTTTACCAGATGCTCACATACCTCACACCCCGCCAAGGTCTTTCGAACCCAGGGATGGTCTAGAATACAACGGATTGTGTAAGGAACGGAAGAAAAACTCACCTGAAATTTGTTGGTAGAATTAAAGGGAATTTCGGCTACTTTGTGGTTCCTTTTTCTAATTTCCATCACGTCACCCAAAACAACCTCTGAGAACTTTAGAAGAGCAGTTTCAGAGGCATCTCCGACCACAGTTCTCTGGGGATCAAAAGAGAGAAATGTTTACAGCTCATCACCTAGATCTTTGGAGCTATACATTTTTCTCTGCTCCCCTCCCTATCTCTCCCCTCCCCTTCAACCCTCTCCCATGGTCTTCATTGCTCCTAATTTACTCAGATCTTGTCTTTTACTACTTCCCATGTAGATCAGATCCATGTATGTCTCTCTTAGGGTTCATTGTTGTATAAGTTATCTGGGATTGTGGTTTGTAGGCTGATTTTCCTTACTTTATGTTTAAAAACCACTTATGAGTGAGTACATATGATAATTGTCTTTTGGGTCTGGGTTACCTCACTCAATATGTTATTTTCTAACTCCATCCATTTGCCTGCTAATATTAAGATGTCATTATTTTTCTCTGTTGTATAGTATTCCATTTGTAAATGTACCACATTTTCCTTATCCATTCTTTGGTCGAAGAGCATTTAGGTTGTTTCCAGGTTCTGTCTATGATAAACAATGCTACTATGGACATAGTTGAGCCCATGTCCTTGTGGTATGATTGAGCATCCTTTGGATATATACACAAAAGTGGTATTGCTGGGTCTTGAGGAAGGTTGTTTCCTAATTATCTGAAAAATTGCCATACAGACATCCAAAGTGGCTGTACCAGCTTGCTCTCCCACCAGCAATGCAGGAGTGTTCCCTTTACCCCACAACCTCTCCAGCATAAGTTGTCATCAGTGTTTTTGATCTTGGCCATTCTTAACAGGTGTAAGATGGAATCTCAGAGCTGTTTTGATTTGCATTTTTGAGACTGTTTTTGATGAACCAACAGGCTTTGACCAGTGGAAGAGACAAGGTCACAGGACTCTCAGTGACTGAGCCAGGACTATGGTAAGAACACAGACCAATGGTGCCACCTACAGGCACTAGGGAAGTCTGTGCTAGTGGGAGCTCTGTGGGGAATGGGAGCTTCCTGAGCTATGGCCTAGGAGAATAGGAGACATGATCAGGGAGAAAAGGCCTTGTAGAAAGCAGATTGCCAGGAGTGGAAGTACAGGTGTGTATGGTAAGATATGGAGGTTCCTGAAAAGTGTTTGTGGTCAAGATTCAAGTAGCAGAAAACAGGGACCCACAGAGGAAAACTGAGCAAAGCTAGGTGATCAACCAGTGTTTAAGGAAAATTGGTGGCAAATGAAAAGAATGGAGGGGAAGGGTAAAAGCTCGGAGGTCAGTGAGGAGTGGCTTGGAAATCGAGATGTGAGGTACTGATGATCATAGAAGCATGAGGTTGTGTGTATTTCAAACCAAGAATGGCTCATTCGCTAGAAGAAAAAGCAAGATAATTTCCCAAACCTTTGGCTCAAGGACAAGCAGAATGACTATGTCAACGGAACCTTTTTGACAGCCTGTTGACTGGAAGCCAGGCTGGGTGCAGGGGAGAGTGACAAGAGTGGCCTTGTAATTTCTCAGTGATGGAGGGAGTGAAGAAGACCTGCTCATCTCAGGATAAGTCAGCTTTGCTCTTACCAGGGTAAACTCTACCCAGCTGGAGAGCCTGACTCAGGCACCCAGGTAGAATGCACAGAGTGACCTCATGCTGCCTGTGACATTAGACCAAGAATGGCGGTAGCTTTACCTTCATGATGGGGACACTTTCCTGGCCTGGCCTGAACTCCGCTCGGTTACACAGTGTTATTATTTTGGACAAAGAAGCCCAGGTCCCAGAACTTTGGTCAAAGGCTTGTTCTAGAACAGAAAAAGAACAGTGGTTAATGTGGGTGCTGGGCCTGCCCTGGCCCAGTCACACCCTTTGTTTAAGACCAGAGACTCAGCCAGTCCTTTGGCTCAGTCCCTGTCTTTGGGCCAGAGGCCTCCACAAAACTCACTTGTTTGGTTCTCGCTTGTATCTGCCACAAAGATCTGATTGTCAAACCACAAATGAGCCACAGTCATTCTGTTCTGGGTCAGGGTCCCCGTCTTGTCTGAACAGATGATGGAGGTGGAGCCGAGGGTCTCCACTGCCTCCAGGTTCTTTACCAGGCAGTTCTTCTTAGCCATTCTCTTTGCTGTCAGTGACAGGGTGACCTGGCAAGATGGGGGAAAGATACCTTGAGGGCAATCAGTTTGAACTCCGGTACCTGGGACTGACTTTTGGGAGAGAGCAGGATACAGTTAGACCAGAGGCAATATTACAACGACAAGAAGTCTGGATTAGTGAGTTGAAAGCCATCCCAAAGCTCTATTAACCATAATCTTAAAAAGATTAACTATAGAACACTTTGTCTCTTCTTTGAAGAAATTGCTCCTGAAGTCTGCAGGCAGCTAAGACAGGCCATGGAGCTATGGCTGGAATTCATGCAACTCAAAAGAGAGCTCAAATAGCTGGGGTGTGGTAAATTACTTGCCTGGCATTCATGAGGTGCTGGGCTCCATGTTCAGAACCACAAAACAAAGCAAAACCAAACCAAACCATGGAGTGAGACCTGGAACTTAACAACATTCTTCTCCTGTCTTTGGCTTGTCTTTTGCCATCACTTGTGTAGTTATATGACTATCATGTGAGCCCTCTGCCCTACCCCATGGACCTGCACAGCAGCTTGGGGAGAAGGGAGCTTTTGTCTAGGACTGAATTAGATAGACCTGGGTAAAAGAAGGCAGGAGAGCCATGGCTAAGTTTGAGGCTAGGTAAGGAAGGCATTAACGCCTTCATAAAGAGAAGGTGTGGAGAGAGGGGGTTTTAGAAAATAAATCAGAGGAATGCATTGCCTCCAGCAATTCTATAAATGGGGGTTAAAAGCTCATCTTCTCTAGATGTTAAGAAGGTGAAACAACCTATGTGAATTAAGCTAGATCTGAAAATTTAGTTTCTAGGACAATGTGTCCAGATATTAGAAACATTACAATTCTTTAATGAAACCGTCTATTCAGAATGTCCCATGGTAGTCTCTGGTGTGTGTGTGTGTGTGTGTGTGTGTGTGCTGCTCTGTAGATGGGAGAAGGAGTGGTTCTGCAGCCACAGCGGCAGTGCCAAGAGTGCTGGGGGTGGGGTGGGGGTGGTGGCTGTGCAGGCATAAACTCACGGTGACAGTGGCCAGGAGGCCCTCAGGTACATTGGCCACAATGATGCTGATGAGGAAGATGATGGCATCAAGGACATAGTACTTCATGCACACGGCGATGATGAAGAAAATGACGCCAATGGACACAGCCACCCCTGCCACGATATGGACGAAGTGCTCGATCTCGATGGCAATGGGTGTCTTCTCACTCCCAACACCGGAAGCCAAGGAGGCTATGCGACCGATGATGGTGCGGTCGCCTGTGTTGATGACAATGCCAGTTGCCGTGCCTACAGGGAAAGAAAACATTTTACTCCGGGCTTTCTGCTCACAGCCCTCTCTGATGGCCTGCACAGTGAGCCAGCCCATGACAACACAAAGGCTGCCATTGATTCTCTGGTCTCCTCAATTCTGAATTTCTTCTGGGAAAAGCTTTACAGCAAGGGACTGGAGAGGACGAAAACCTTGGGCCGGAGAGAGAGAGAGAGAGAGAGAGAGAGAGAGAGAGAGAGAGAGAGAGAGAGAGAGAGAGTTGATGCAAGTGAGACATGCTTCCCTGAGAGCCAACTGGCCTTACCTTCCAGGCACGTTGTGGAATAGAAGCCTATGTTCTTTGTTTCCAAGGGATTTTCATGGGTAAACTCAGTTGAACGAGCCTGGGGCTCAGATTCCCCAGTGAGAGAGGAATTATCTACCTGAAAGAAAGTTCAAAAGTAATTCAAAATCAGCTATGTGAACCCCTACTTTTTCCTTAGTGGGGAGAGAGTGACTGCTACCTCCCAGCAGGCTCCTTGAGGAAGATGCTCCTGGATACTCACTTTGCATCCTTGGGAAAACACTAGTCTGATGTCTGCAGGGATCTGGTCTCCTCCTTTAATCTCCACTATGTCCCCCACCACCAGCTGCTCTGCAGGAATGATCTTCTTTTCTGAGTCTCGGATGACAAGAGCTTGCTGTGGAAGGAAGTCATGGCAGACGCCTAAGCCCCTGGGAAACACACTTGCCTTTCCACTGTCTGCACCTATGAAACTCCAGAGTGGGCGGCCTTGGGACTCCTGGCTGTCAGAGTGGTGAGGCTAAAACTGAAGACTGTTTCACATGGGGTGTCAAGAACTAATCTTTTTCGAGGTCTGTAGTTGGAACCAGAAAAGTCTACCATTGCCTGGCAGATATGAGATGGGGAAATTATTTATTTATTTAATATTTATTGGTGTTGGGTCCCCTGGAACTGGAGTTACAGACAGTTGTGAGCTGCCATGTGGGTGCTAGGAATTGAACTCAGATCCTCTGGAAGAGTGGTCAATTCTCTGAACCACTGAGCCATAATGCCAGTCCCCCGAGGTGGGGGAACTTTAATGACGGAGTACTCTGCTCCTTTCTTGGTGCTACAGGAAGCATCTCTTGTACCCAGACTCTTCCCTTCTATCTGATGGTTCTGTCATCTGGGGCCAAAGAGGTTTCCTAGCTATAGATACAATGGTTCCTGGGAGGAGAAAGGGGCACTTGGTCCCCACAGGAACATTTAGGGCAACAAGCTCTGAAAGCAAAAAACAGTCACAAATAGAGTAGATTGGATGGACCTCTTTGACTGTCAGTGAGAAATATTCTGGAACCATCTGAGTGACTGTTCAGTGTGGTTCAGAACACACTGTGCAATGACTAATGTTCTTTCCTGCTTTTTCCTAGATGGAGCATTTTCCTTGACCTCACTTTAGCCCTGTGACCCCCTCAACCCCTTCAACTAGGATTCAGAGAGATTATTCAGAAGTAATTTGCCCAAGATATGACAGATAGCAAGGAGTGGGGTCAGGGCTGCCTCTTTACCCAGAATTCAGGAAGAGACCAGAGCTGGGAGGCTCCCACTCACCTGGGGGATCATCTTACTAAAGCTGGCCATGATGTTGGTGCTTTTGGCTTCTTGATAATAAGCAAAAATCCCCGTTAAAATAACAACCAGGATAAGTATGGCGCCCAAATAGACCTGGGTGGGGAGGAGAGGTCGCAGTCAGAGAAACAGATGGGGGTAGCAACCTCTAACTTGAAACAGTCTAGTCTGACTACCAATATGACACCAAAGTGCAAAAGTCCTGCCTGATCTCATGTGACCAGTCACAAATACAGAGATGCTAAAAGTAATGCCAAGAATTACCTGCAAGCAATAAAGATGGGACATATATATGAAGGAAACAAATTCTGTGCTAAAATTAATATGTCTTGTTTTATACAGACATACATCCAAGCCCCCACCCCAATCTGAGATCTAGAACACTTCTTTTCACTCATGTTCTTTGGCAATCAATCACTCTTTGCTCCTGTGCCCAGCCTGGGGACCATGGACGTGCTCTCCAAAGCTGAGCCTATCTGGTATTTAGCATCAGTGACCTCCTACAACACCTAGCTTTTGGCAGCTGGTTTCTTTCTCTTAGCAAGGTATTAGCCAGATCAGTTCTGTGGTATGAGCCAGTATACCTGCTCTCCATGGGAAAAGGAGAGAGATTGGCTTTGAGGAAAGAGAGTTCCAGAAATACTTCATTATTCCCCCGCTCCATTACAGACTAGGTGTTTTGTCTGTATTCTAAAATTCACACTTATATCATCGGAAAATGAAACATCATTTGCTTCACAGTGTGAGAATTCCTGATTTCCCTATGTTCACCACTGCCTGATGGGTGGTAGAATAGCTTTAGCCCAGCACTGTGCTCACTGAGAGACTTGCTTAGTGACTGCTTCTCCTTGTAACCAAGCAGAGCCCAGGATGGTTGCTTACACTGTCAAGGGATGCAGAATCACTGACATACTGGATCACATATGCGATCCAGCACAAGATGGCACCTATCCACAGAAGGATGGAGAAGCCCCCCACCATCTGCTTGAGGAACTTGATAATCTCTGGAGTTTGCTTGGGAGGTGTAAGGGCATTGGGCCCATCCCGAGCCAGGAGTTCTGTAGCTTTGACGCTGGAGAGACCCTGAAAAAGCCAAGAAAAACACACAGAGAAACAAACTGTTGGTCTTCATGTTTTGTCAACTGCCCAGGGCCCTGGGAAAGTGAAAGATGCCTCGTTCTCCCAATTCCCACTTTTTAATTTTTTTCTTTGGACAAAGATTACTTTTGTTTTTATTGGGGGGGGTACCATGTGTTATTTAATATGTATACATTACAAAATGTTTAAATCAGGTTAAACACCTGTCTCCAATAAATATTTCATATTTTGGAAACTGTGCCAGGGCTTACACTCAGATCTTGAAAAGTCTTCTACATCTTAGCCAAACCTCTTTTTACTTTTTATTTTGTGACACTGACCTATAACCCATACTGACCTTGAACTTGCAATCCTGCCTCAGCCTCCCAAGTGCTTTGAAACACACATGTGCCATTGTACCCGGCACAAACTCTCTATCATAGACCATATCATGTGCATATCCTTTCTTCTTAATTATGTGTAAGCTAGAGGCAATATCTCTTTTTTGTTCATTTTGGAGTCTGCTCTAGGAACTAATGCTTTTGCTAGGTAGTGACTTAAGTATTTGTTGCAAAGCTGGATTCTGAGCTACTAACTCATCGTTGCCTTTCACCTTGCCTCTTTTTTTTTTTCCCAGAACTCCTTTTCTCAGCAACTGTTGAAAACTTACTATTATTTCTAATAGTACAGCCAGCCTTCTGTGCTCACAGATTCTGTCAACGGTAGGATTATCTCCCTATTCTCACGGCCAGTCCAGTGTGAACCACATTCTAAGTTTTTTTTTTCTTGTTTTCATTTGAACAAATGAATATTCATTTTCTGTCAAGGGGTTCAAACTTGGGCTAGAGAGATAGTTCAGTGGTTAAAATCACTTGCTGCTTTTTTCAGAGGACCTGGGCTAGCACCCCTGTGGTGATACACAACCATCTGTAACAGTTCCAGGGGACCTAATGCTCTCCTCTGGCCTCTGCAGGTACTGCATGTATGTGGTCACATGCAGTCAAAACATGCACAAAATATAAATAATAAATAAATAAATGCTTTTAAAAAAGAGGCTTAAACTTTTGAATTTGAACTTGAATTTGAATTCACAGAAGGAAACAATATTTTGTAGTGAGGAATTTGTAAAGTCCCGTGGGCGTGCAGTGTGCTCTGGTTCCTTGGGCTCTGAGATGGAGACTCTGCGTCCTTTCTTTCTAGCAATGGCCTCCCCTGCCATCAATAAAAAGAGTTCCATGCACCATTTTACTTCATAAACAGCTTCTGGCTATAACCTTGAGGAAGGTATGTATCGTTCTGGGAACCACAGTTCCTTTGCTGTTTACACCTGAACGTCTAGCTCAGTGAAAGGACCTGGTTGGGGCCTTGGGTCAGACACGCCAGCTCCAGCAGCCTGAGTGGCTTATCTCAGGATCCAGAAAATGGACAGTTCCACAGGTGTGGCCCTAAGTCACCCACAGCCTACGCAAGCCAGCGTTCTTCCTCATACAGTCAGGATGCTTGTCCCCCAGACGATCCGCCCCCTGATGACTTACCCGAATGATGTTTGTACCGTATTTCTGCTCCAGTTCTGTATTACTGAGTCGGTGGTCATCCTGGGATTCACAGAAGGAAAGGGAGTAAATGGCCTCATTCCAAAAGACTCCACCCCAACTTTGACCCACTTTGGAAGCTTTGCAAGTAGCACAGGCAGAAAGGGCCAAGAAGGTTGGTGAGGAGCAGAGAAGGCTGTGCAGGGAGTAGAGGCTCTGGTGCCAGAGACCCTTGACTTGAATCCCTGTCCTTCACCCCTGTGAGCACATACTGCACGTGCCGTTGACACCCAGGCCCCGCCCTTGGTTTCTATGAGCAATGCAATGGCTACTGGCCACACTCTGACCTCATGCATGCCCTGGCATCCTCATCTTGTAGCTATGAGATAGTTTGATGTTTCACTCAGAGCTGGATGCTAAGACTGGCCGAAGGTGATTGGCAAGCCCAAAGTACCCATGGGATAAGATCAGGAAGGAAGGGAGAGTAGAGTCAGGCACCGGTGGTTGTGGGTGCTCTCGGCGCTCCTAAGAATCGGGGTAGCACAGGCTCTCCATTCAGAAGGGTTAGTTCCAAGGCTCTAGTTTGCCGCAGAGATCAAGATTCAAGGGCATCCAAGCATCATGTCACAAACTGAGGGACGTTTGTGAGAGGCTTGAGAAAGTGGAGGGAGGACAAGAGGCTCCTTTCTTACAACGAAGCAGGAAAATGGGCTAATACCGTGGGAATGATTTTTCTATACAGTATTGAAAGTACTCTAAGAAAAATTTCCCATCATAATTATAGGGAGAGCTGAGCATAATGTCTGATGCCTGAAATCTCAGGACTCAGGAGGCCCGCACAAGAGTATTGCAAGCTCAAGGCCAGCTGGGCCACATATCAAGTGCAAGGTCAATCTGAACTTCACAGCAAGATCCTGTCTCCAAAGAGAATATAAATAGTTTGATATAGGTAAAAATTTAAAATTAGCAGGCTTATGAGAGAATAGAGGTATAGTCAAGCAGCAGTCTTAAGGGAAAACAGGCATGTCTTAAATGCTAGAGACACACAGGACATAATAATTCTTTTCGTGTGTTATCTAGCACTGCTCTTGGCCTTGACCTATCTCACTTAATCCTCTCCACAACCTGAACGGATAGGCATTCCTAGTTGCATCAGTCCAACGGTAGCCCAGCAAACACTGGGCTTTGAGGTCTGCCTACAGACTGCAGGGTTAATCTAGCTGGATCTTAGGCTCCCTTTAGCCTTCCTGAAAAGGTATCTTAACCTTCACATCCAGGGCAGCTTGTAAGAGGTCAGGTTTAATAACCCAAAGTCCTTCCTTCAGAGAGACTTACTTAAGATACATAGCTCATTTCCCCCTCACAGACCTTGCAAACTAGTTCCCATTTTATATAGGGAGAATGGGGACAGGGGTGGTTTCCATGGAGCTAGCGTGTTTGTGCCCAGTTACAGCTCAGTCCTAGAAAAGGACTTAGATTGAGCCTGGCCAGGTCCAGTATTTCTACCCCTGGGGCTGTTTTTCCAGGAACACATAAAGCCTCACAAGGCCTATGGCTTTGGTTTTCCATCTTTGGAGGCTGTAGCTCAAATACTTTTACTTGCCCCTGGAAGATTGGCACATTGTTATTTATATCTCAAGACAGCAGCTGAGAACAAGAGGGATGGTTTCTGCCTCTTGGGCTTACAACGGAGGCTTTAACTCCCTGTCCTGTCTGGGACTGCCTCCAACCAGAGCACAGGCATTTGTCAACAAGGATGAGTGGCGGCAGGAGGACACAGGAGGACAGGACAGAATGAGGAAAGATATTATCACACTCTGGACAACAAACAAACAAGGAAGTTGGAAGCCTTCCAGGGTATCCCAAGCTACCGAGGCCAGTTTTTCTTTACCAGAGAGAGGGAGGTTATAGAGACAAGTTCTCAGTGGCAGGGGGCACCAGGCCCTTTCGCCTTCAGGGGACTGACCAGATCAAGCTCTTTCTTAAGCTCCTCTTTCTCACGACCCTTATTGGGTTCTGAGTCCTTGTTCTTCATCTCCTTGAACTTCTTGTCATCTCCCTGGTCTGTCTGATTGACATCTTTAGTTCCATTGAGCTCCACAGAATAAATTTCTAATGTTTTCTGGAAGAGAAGCAGAGGTGCAATATTAGCCCCAGATAGGTTTTCTTGAGTAGGTGCCGAGTGGCTCCCAGAGGGTGAGGAGATGCCCAGATGGAAGAAGAATGCTGGTCCCCCCTGCTCCCTGACTTGGAGAAGAAGTGGAGGATCGTTGGAAGTGTCCCCCCTCTTTCCAAAAATATTTTCCTTCCTCTCTGTGTTGACACGAGGCTTGATTGGCACAGCCCTGGCAGTATCTTTGCAAGGATCCTTTCTCTGGGATGGGGCAGATGGAAAAGTTAGCAGTTTCCCTAGCACCTTGTGGGTCATTCCCAGATAGGTCATACCAGACGGATCATCTCTTTTTCTTAAGGGAGGGGTGTAGTTCCAAACAGACTCACTGTAAGCATTGCTTTTCAGAGCACCTTGCATCCAACAGAATCCTAGCATCATCTCCAAACCCCAGCTTTCAGAGCAGGTGCTGTGTGGCTGGTTTGACAACCCTGGAGACCCTTCCTACACATCTACACTAACTTATATACACTGCCAGCACTAATTGCCATATATATTCTTGATGGCTGGGAGTGAGTTCAGTGTTAAAACTGCCCACCCCCTATTGTCCTGAGACCCGGCATTTCTTTTTCTTTTCCCAGCGCTTCCCGATGGTCTCCTAAGGGACCCACTAGATGTGGAGGCTGCACGCACCCGGCGCATTCTGTGGATGGTAGTCCAATCCGCTGGTAGATGGATATGAGGGCACGGGATGCGGGAGTGCTGCGGTGAGCCGGGCTGGGATGAAGACGCGCGCGTTGCCTTAGTGGTACTCCAGGCAGTAATGCACAGAGGCAGTCCCGATCTGGCGGTGGCGGGGGGCCGCGGCGGCGTCACAGGTCCTAGTTCCTGAGAGGCGACGGTGACGAAGTTGGAGTTGCAGAGGCAGGCGCCGACCTGGACCCGGACCTTGCCTGTACCTCCGCGGCCAATTGCCAGCTGTGGCGTGCGCCTTAAATGAAGCGCGCTCCGCCCACGTACCTGGAGCGACTCAGCTCATTCGGCTGGGGACGCCCCTGGGGATGAAACCCTAGGGCGCACAGGCCTGGGTGGGGTGAGGTTGGTGGCCAGAGATCTGAAAATCTTAAGGTGGGAGCCCCTTTTGATACCTGGTTGGGGGACGGGGTCTTCCTTAGGGCGGGTCTGGCAACAGCTCAGTCAGTGGCTCAACAACAGTGGCACGCGTCAGGTGCGTGCTGCCCCCGTGTGCACTACGAGCGCTTGTCCGACCCCGGGCTCCTGGAATCCCAGGGGCACACCCACGCCCTGTGGAGCTTTTGTGAAAAATCTACACCCACTTTCTTTAAAAAAAAAAAATGCTGTTCCCTTACCAATAAAGGAATTTATAAAAGTGTGTAAACGGGGGAGGGGTTGGGGGTTGCAGTTCCGATCAACAATTGTGACCTGGCAATAAATACCGACTCTAGAGAGGATTTGCATATAGATAGGTAAATGAGACTCTGGAGCAGCCTGGGCTAACCGCCAAAGACTTTACGGAGTAGCTGAATTACTTTATAAAGATCCAGAAAATAAAAATGTGCAGTTTTGAAACAATATTGGAAGAGAGAGGATAAGGGGGGCTGGGATAGGTGCCCTGGCTTTAGGAAGGCTACCTCAGAACTCCTGGGGAGGAGCAGACTGCTGTGTGCAGAGCCCAGGTTGTGGGTGCGACTTTGATGACACTGGAGGATAGCTCTGTTTTTCACAACGCTCCTCACAAGTGCTTCTCTCTTGGCCCTCCTCCTGTCTGCCCTCCCTTCTTCCTGTAGTCCCAAAAGGGCAAAATTTGAAACCTAGGGTTTTCCTATTTTGGACCAGGAAGACAACCGCGAGTCCCAATTCTTCAGGGTTGGGAAGACTTGCTGTGTAGATACACTCCACAGATTCTTTAGTGTTGAGGGGGATTTTATGTTCTAATCCAGACTGGTGCAACAGTGGACTTCCGGAGAGTCTTCCGACGTCGTCTCCCCTGATTCATTTAGTGGAGAATGCTATTTGAAAGAAAGAATTTTGCAGATAAGAAGGAAACACAAAATCTATGCAAAGCAGTTGTTCTACCATTTGCTTGGGTTCTGGAGTCTGTTCCCCGCTGTCTTCCACCCCCAACCCAGGGCCCAGGTGGTTTTTTTTTTTTTCCAGCTGTACTAGTCAACCTTTAAGTCTGGGACCAACCTAGGCTAGAGAAGTGAGATCCCAGAAGCTTTTCCCAGCTCAAGGCCAGTATTCAGTTTCAAGAGAAAACACAGACTCCAGACTGGAGAAGGGGGTGGGGGCTCAGAGAAAATGACATGATGGCAGGGCTTCAGAAGTAGTATTTAGAGTACTTAGAAGGTAGCTGGTTGTGTGTCTGTGTTAAGTGTGGGGTGGAATGGCATCAAAATTGGACAACAGTTTCTGTGGTCAGGCGCTTTGGGACCTCCTGGGATTTGCAGAGTTGAAGTTCTGCTCAGTCACCGGTTCCTGCACAGTTCTTGGCTTCTGCCAGGGACGGTCTTAGGTCCTGCCACTGCCTTGGCCCTTGTGGCAGTTGCTGGTGTCAGGTAATATCTGGAAGTCTCGATTTCTACCAAAGAAGAAAAAAAGTGGGGCCATAATCTTTGCTGCTTCTAGTCTCCTGGGTATCCTTAGGTGTGTTGCGAGCACCTGGAAAGATCGTCACCAACAGACCCGGGTACTGGATTTTTCCTCTTAGGCACAAAAGCCTTTTCATTTGGCTGGAGACTTTGCCCCATGGTATTCTGGGAAAGGGCTCTGAGAAACCTAGATCTGAGGGCCTTTTGCAGAAGGGCTGGTTTTGGAAAAGGACACTCTCAGGGACACCTTCTAGCAGAATTGCTGCTTGAGGCTGTAATTCCTGTCTTTCAGAAGAATCCCACCAATGCCGAGGGCCGTTCCATTGACAGATAATGGGATAGCTTGCTAGGAGACTTGGAAATAGTCCTAGCTTGCGCTTCTGAGTTCACTCATTCAGTATCTTACAAAGCATGGGGTAACAGCATGAAAATTGTGTCAGTTCTCTGCCCTCTAGAGAGATTATGGTTGAGTCCCTGAGGTAAAATTAGTGAGGAAAAAATAATGACTGACCTAAGAGAAAAATGATTTAGAAATAAATGGTGTGTGTCTAAAACCATTAAGAGTTAAAAGAAAAGAAATATCCATGGGTGCTAGTATGTTTTAAATGTTCTCCTCAAAGTTCACACTGAAATTTAATCCCCCTTGGAAAGTCTAGCTAAAGAGATGGGATCAGGGCTAGGGATGCAGTATAGTGGCACGTTGTTACTCTCTTGTATAGGAAAACAAGCAAGCCGATAAATAAAACACAGAAGTGGGACCAGACATTGACTTTAAGGAGTGATTAGGTCATAAGGGCCTTCCCCATGAGTGGATTAGCCAAGTCAAGAGATCATGAACAAATCAATGTGGAAAATGGGTCCTGCCATGCAGTTGGCTTTGTCTCTTCAATGTGCCCCTCTTGCCACATGATACATTGTACTTCTTGGTTCTCTGCAGAGAGTCCACCACCATCACCAGATATAGCCTTCAGAAATAATGAACCAAACTGAGCCCCTTATCTTGATAAATCATCCACCTTCAGGTATATTGTCATCACAATAAAACAGACCAAAGTAGGGGGATAGCTTGACATTTTATTGCTTGGCCTCCTTTTCTTTTCTTTTCTTTTCTTTTCTTTTCTTTTCTCTTCTCTTCTCTTCTCTTCTCTTCTCTTCTCTTCTCTTCTTTTCTTTTCTTTTCTTTTCTTTTCTTTTCTTTTCTTTTTGTGGTTTTTAGAGACAGGGTTTCTCTGTAACTTTGGGGCCTGTCCTGGAACTAACTCTGTAGACCAGGCTGGTCTCGAACTCACAGAGATCCACCAGCCTCTGCCTCCCGAGTGCTGGGATTAAAGGCGTGCACCACTGCCCAGCTGGCTTTTCTTTTCTTTTTTTCTTTCCCTGTGATTTAGAATTCTTCTAGGTGCCTGGAATCCCCCCTTCCCCTCTCACCACCTCTGGGCTGCAAGGTCTGGCGTCGAGGCTGTTCACCATCTGGCTGTGAGGTGTGACTGAAGATCCAAATGAACAGGGAAGAGGGCCCAGGTGACAACTGGAAGAGGAAGCTTTGCCTCCTGTTTCACATCCGGACAGGCTGGTGTCTCTCCTGCCCACTCGCCTTCTCCTTGTCTCTGGATGCCTCTCCTACACAGTGGACTGTCCCCACCCAAACCCTCCCCATACACCTGCAACTCCTCAGTGTGCCAGGCTATGACTGGGCAAGCTTTTCTCTGCTGACCAGCACTGCCTGACGTTGAACTGAGAATGGAAAAAACAAAAGCAAAACAAAGCTGCAACCTAACACACCTCTGTTTGTTTCCTCATTTCTTCGTGATGGGAAATGCCAAGATTGGAATATGAACATCCTGGCCGGGAAGAAATTGACTCGTAAACTCTGTACAAACCCTGCTCAGGACTGCTAAAGACTGAGGCCAGAGCAAACAGTGGCAGAAGCAGGAGAGGGCTGTCAGGGGTTCAGCAGAGCCAATGGGTTTGTCACAGGACACAGTCTCCCCTCCCTTGTGGATAGCTTCCCTGAAATGTAGAGCTCCTGGGACCCAGTGATCATTCTCTGCCATTTGGTTTCAGCAATAAGATGCCTTAAAATAAGTGTGTGTGTGTGTGTGTGTGTGTGTGTGTGTGTGTGTGTGTGTGTGTGTCTTGTTATTTTGTTTGAAACAAGATCAGCAAGTTCCTGTGTCTTAGTCTGGCCCTGAATTTACCAGGTAGTCTAGGATGGCCTTGAACTTGCCATGATCTTTCTGTCTCGGGTTCCAGCGGGTTGGGGTTATAGGCATCATTCATTATACCTACCTTAAAATAAATCTTATTTAAAGAGATGTTTTGATATAGGCAGCAAGATTTACTGGATTCCAACTGGTTAATATATCCACCTTCTCACATCATTATCTTCTTTCTTTCTTTCTTTCTTTCTTTCTTTCTTTCTTTCTTTCTTTCTTTCTTTCTTTCTCTTTCAGTTGTTAGAGCCCATAGCTACCTACCCTCTTAGCAGACTTCCAGCACTCAGTATAACTGTAGCCCTTGTCTTTTGCTTAGCATCCTGGAAGTATTTTCCTACTTGCCTTCTCCATTATAGCTCTCAACATCCCCCCCCTTAACCCGATAAGATACTGTTTTAAAAAATAATAATTAAAAAACCCCACCGTTTTCCTTTTGAGACAAGGTCTCACTATGTTGCACAGGCTGCTTTTGAATTCCTGGACTGAAGTGACCCAGAGAAATATGTGTCACTACTCTTGGCTTAACTTCTTTTTAGATGCAGTTAGAAAACAACAATAACAAAAAAAAAATGATTGTAATCTGAACCTAGTCTAGAAAACCCCTCAGAGGCATATTCAGAGAGTCCTTTCCCTGGTGATTATATCAAGTTGACAATCCAGCTTAACCACATAACTCCATTCCTTACCAATTTGATACTCAAACCTACCACTTTTAAGCCACAACCTTCCATCTTTTGTACCTGTAGATTCACAGCCATCTTACAATACTAAAATATAATCAATTAAGATTAAAATTAAATTAAAATTGTACTTCCTCCAACAAAGTCACACCTCCTAATAGTGCCACTCCTTATGGGCCTCTGTGGGCCATTTTCATCCAAACCACCACAGCAGGTTTGGTTATGCATTTGTGCGAGTGTGATGTGGAAATCCAAAGACAATTTGTAGGAGTTGGTTCTCAACAATAATGTGTGTTCCGGAGACTGCACTGAAGTCCTTCTGCTTGGCATCAGGCATCTGAGCCATCACCTGGTGTTCTATTTTATATGGTGCTGGAGACTGAACCCAGGTCTTCCTGCATGGTAAGCAACCTTTACCTATGTTACATGGCCACTCTGCCACAGGCACACAACAGTGACTTAGAGGAGGAGGGGCTTATTTTGCCTCACAATTTAGGAGTACAGTCCGTTATGGTAGGAGTCTGAGGCAGCTGGCCACATTGCATCCATAGTCAGGAAACAGAAAGTGGTGCTAGTGCCCAGCTT